ATTTGACACTCAGTTGCTCATCACCCGCCTTTTTTTTTTTCTTTTTTTTTCCTACTGGTTAGATCGTCTCAGCTGACTAGCTGGTCACTCGAAACAGGGGCAGGCCGCCCATCGCGGTCTTGGCCGAGGCTTTGTCTTGGTTTCAATTGGGGTTGGGGGGGGGGGGGGAAGTGATATTCCGGCTCACCATCAGGGTGTGCTCAGGCGGGGGGGAGGGGGAGGGGGAAGGGGAAGGGGAAAGGGGACGGGGAGAGAACAGACAGGGTGGCAGCTAGGCGAGGAGGATAAAGGACGAGAGGGAGGCCTCCTCAGTCCTAAAAGAACTGCCAGATATAACCTGCCAAGCAAGCTGCCAGCCTGCATAAATAAGAGAGAGATAAATCATAAATGTCTGCAAATCCACTATAGCCATACCTTAAGGAGGGCTTCCCCCTACTGTCTTGGCCCGAATAGAATGCATGATCATTATAACTGTATTTGGGGTAAGTTCCAGTCTAGATTCAGCCATAATGACTTCACCTCAAGATTCGTAGGCCGTGGGGGTAGTCATGATTCAGCCATAATGACGGTACGTTCACCTCAAGATTTCTACTTTGGATTATATCCCCATGGCGTATGTACAATCCTTCTTTATAAGTGAATCCATCAGTCATTCTCCATCAGTCAGTCATGATATAATCCAAGTTACAATAAATTGACGGCTATAAATAAAAATTAAATAAATACATAAATAATTTAAAATAAATACATAAATACATAAATAATTTAAAATAAATACATAAATAAATAAATAGACAGCTTCCCTGGATTGTACCATCAGATTTCAAACTTGGGTGGGCAACGTAATTAGCCCTTTACAATTAGGGACCCATCGCACACATGTATAAATCTCTATAATTTCTAGGACGATCCTTACGGTTCCCATGATTAGTTCGCTCTTTTTTTTTTTTTTTTTTTTTTTTTTTTTTTTTTTTTTTTTTTAAAAAAAAAAAAAAAAAACAAGGGAAAAAAAAAAAAAAAAAAAAAAAAAAAAAAAAAAAAAAAAAGATCACGAGTCGTGAGCAATTACTAGCGGTAACTAGCCTATGCACCAAATGTGCGATACCGTGAGATATCGGGGCCATTATCCGGCTTCAGCAGAGACTACTCAGACAATTATCGACAACAAAAAAAAACATCTGCCGATGGTCGACCCTATAATCAGAAAAGATGAGGGTCAAAACTGAACCCGCCTGCTATCCAAACGTCGCCCCCTCAACAGACGAAACGTCGGTCCAGGCTTTTTTTTTTTTTTTTTTTTTGGAAAGAGCTTCATATGCCGGAAAACCCACTTAAGGAGGTGATCAGAGCAGCCCCCGTTAAGTGGGTCCCGACATTGAAGGCTCCATCTATTGGTGGGAAGCTACACGTGCTGGAAATCGGGTCCAGCGTCGCTGTACAATAACATGTGTCAGCTGGAAATCCGGTCCAACATCCCTTGTACAATGTTGTGAAAGGATGCCATACTATGCATCCGATGATATGTGAGGGTGTTTCGTTAAGTTTGTATATCTTCCCATAGAGCAGAAGGCATTGATTACTTCCCCAGAGAAGGGAAGTATTGACATCCTGCATACATGAGCTAAACCCTAAGTAAAACCATCTCCATCAAGCACCCCAACAGCCAAAACGCACCCATGCACGAAACCCTAAACAACCTGCCCCTACACCTCATCGTGATTGGGGATTAAAGGCTGGGCAACCCCAATCAGTGGAGAGTCATCGTTTATCCCACTCCCACCCGCTGTGAAGCGAAGATAAGTGGTTCAACAGGGAGGGACACCACGCAGAAGGGGGGGAAGGTAGTAGTAGTAAGCGTTGTTGTTGTTGTTGTAATTCCCTCCGTTGTCGTCACCTCTGCTGTTGTTACTGTTGCTGTTGTTTTTGTTGTTGTTGTTGATGTCGTTGTTGTTGTCGCTATTGTTGTTGTCGTCGTCGTTATTGTTTTTGGTTGTGCTGTTGTCACTGTTGTCATTGCCGCCCCCAACATTGCAGGCGCCGCGATCGTTGATGTCATTGTTGTGATCGGTATTGGCGTTGTGACCTTCATTGTCTTCGCAGCCGCCAATATCACCGGTGTCGATGTTGTTGTCGTTGTTGTTGTTGTTGATGTTGATGTTATTGTTGGTCTTGATGTTAACGCTGCTACCTCTGTCGCCTCCTCCCCATCAATATCGCTCCAACCGGTCCTCCAGAAGAGCACGCAGATCGTGACCCTCATTGAAGAGGGCTTTGCAGACAGACATGATGCCATCTGCCCTCCTCCAATCGATGCAGACTTCGAGCCGGGGATCCGGCCCTCCTCCAGCTCCCAGATGATCTCCAGCATGTCCTCACTTTTATCCTTCAGCCAAACAGCCAGAGAAATCGCTCCCCCTTCGACCTTTGGCTCCACTTGCAGCCACAAAGACATGCCCCTCACGATCTCCTGCAACCATCTGCATCCGTTCTCCAAGGTAATCAACCATTCGTTCACTCCAAGCTATAGTTCCATCTCCAAATCCATCTCTTACCTACAGAGCTGCGCCGCAATCACGTTCTCTCGTCAGTCTCACAGCTGGCACCTCTGCTGCTGTCCTCCTTGTGTAGTCATAGCGCCTATATGCCCAAGGGCTCCCGAGGGGGATCTCCTCTCCTCCACTCAGTCCACTCAAGGTCACGGGCTCTGGCAGGGAGGACCCTCGCCTTCCTCGTGGGCTATGGCAGGGAGGACCCTCGCCTTCCTCGACAATGACGAGGAAGTCAATCGGAGTGTGATAGGGCCTTGCCTACCGGTCCAGTTAGCGCACTCGCGCTAGCGCCGACCGACGCAGGTAACACGGCACGACCTTTCGAGGGGGATGATGTACTTCAGTCCTCGTACGAGAACTCACTTGATCTCATACCCCCTTCTGCTAGGGTAACAGGGCAACACAACCTTCCCCAGTACCGACCAACCTAGTTCTAACGGACAGGAAGTGCCTTCCTCCCTCAACATCTCCCTTAGCTGCAAGCCCCTGACACCAAGTTACAAGGTAATGATACCCCGGTGCCGACTACGTCGGACGTTCTGGTTATGGCTTCCACCCTCGACACAGCTCCACAGGCCTTAAGCTCCCCCTAGGTCACATAGCAAAAACTCCACCATCGGCCTGTGTCATCCCAGCATTGTCCTTCTAACCTACTTACCTTAATAAACACAACCCCCTTACTACCTCCCATCCTCTAGTTCCAATTTCCCCCTTTTCCTCACGAACTTCAACCATAGGCTTTTTTTTTGGACTTATCGAATGTAATATGCGAGCCGGGGCCATGACCCGGCTTCGACTGAGAAATGGTCATGAGCAATTACTAGCCTATTCAACAAAGGGCCTCATGAAATAGGCTAAACCTCAATCATTACCCCTAGAGAGTTTTCGGCTAGAGAACAAACTACCTTAGTGGGATTTAACAGCCCCACCTCAGCCTGCCTCAGTCTTCATATCCTCGATACCTAGTCTCTACCAGGCCTCACACCCCCACTGCTAGGGTTACAAAGCGGCGCAACCCACTCCAGAAAAATCCCCCACGCTAGGTTGCAGGGCGGAGCAACCCGCCCCGGCTCCGGCCAGCGTCGTCTATGTACCAGCTCGCCAATGGACATTGGAGTGCCTTCCACCCTCGACAAATCCCCAGATCTCTCTACCGTGACTAGGCCTCATACCCCCACATAACTCGGGTTACAGGCCAGCGCAACCAAGCCCCAGCACCGATCAGCGTCGTTCTTTTTTTTTTTTTTTTTTTTTAATAGCCCTTGTGATATCCCTTTATCCTGGCGGTGGTAAGAGAACCGTCAAGATCGAGGGCTTATCTGTCGGGCTGCTCCATCTACTGGTGGGGAGCGAACCCTCTTATCAGCACCACTAACACTGGCGGGGGGATGAAAAAAAAAAAAAAAAAAAAAAAAGGAACCCTCAATAGTACAAAGATAGTGAGAAAAACTTGGAAAAAATGGGAAAAGAGGGAGAGATAAAGGGCCGAGGGCATTGCAACTTAAAAGTTAAAACAGAAATCAAATCGCTTAACAAGTTAACACCGATGCACCAAAATAGCACGTGCTGGCACAACGTTCTCAGACCAGAAAGACTGTGACAACTATAGCAAATGGGTATCAGAACTTGATAGTTCCAAGAGAAAAACAAAATAAAAAATATAATTTAAATATTCCATTAAATCAATTTAAAATTTAAATTCACCTTCAAGAGAAGGGTACAGTGGCCTAGCTCAATTGGTTAGGCACGCAGGTGGCATTCAGGAGGCTGTGGGTTCAATCCCCATGGCCGCCTGCGGTATGCTTGGCGACAACCAACTGAGATAGTCAGCTGGATCCTCCCCGTCGGTATTCGTAGGGTCCTCAGTCGACGCGTGTGTGAGTGTGACTATGAGTGCGAGTGCGAGTGCGAGTGGGTTGCATGTGGTGTGTGGGAGAGTGTTGGCCTTAGACACTGCGGTTACGCTATGGGAGTGGGGGAAGATGAAAAGGGAGGTGCAAATGCTCGGTCTTTGTGTTAGCCGGGCCCCCACAAGCAGCCTAACCCTGCACCCTAAACCACTAGGGCAAGGGGCAAACATGCAATTGCATTCCTCTGTCAAGAGAGGTAACCTCCCTTCGCCAAGGGAGGTAGATCACTATGCTTGCAGGGGTCCCCTTTATAGCCTTTGTCGTAGTGGTAGGTAGGTCGTCAAAGATGAAGGAATTGAGACAAGAATATAGTGCCGGTTTTCTTTTTTTTTTTTTGCACTTAAAAAAAAAAAAAAAAAAAAAAAAATCCATCAAAGGGAAAAAAATAAAAAATCCATCAAAGATGCAAGAATTTGAGACGAGAATGTAGTGCCGTTTTTTGTCTTTTTCACCTTAAAAAAAAAGAAATATCCACAAAAACGAACGAACTCCATTGCAACAGCAAAAATATAGAATTATTTACAGAAAGTTCAGAAACTGCTCGAGGTCCAGGTGCCACCAAGTAACCAGTGCACCGCCAGCCTGCCTGCCTCTTATGCCCCAAGCAATTCGCAAAATGGGGAAAACACGAAACTGGCACACTCAAAAAGGTGGAAAGGAAAAGGAGCCAAGCACGTCAAGACCTTCGTCCCAAAAAAAGAAGCAGAAGAAACTGTACGAAAACTTCCGCACTTAAACCAATCCATCAACCAATCAACCGATCACCCAATCAACCAATCAACCAATCAACCGATCACCCAATCAACCAATCAAAAACCATTTGACCATGCACCGACACCATAAACACTCTCTCTCTCTCTCTCTCTCTCTCTCTCTCTCTCTCTCTCTCTCTCTCTCTCTCTCTCTCTCTCTCTCTCTCTCTCTCTCTTGCATGCAGAAAACACTGCAACAACCCCATCTTACGATCTGATGACAGTCCTAAGATAAACTCCAGAGTGCAGAAGAAGAAGAAACAAGGAGATGTCTACGTCTATGAACTTTGCATGAAAGTCCCTATGCTATAGTACAAAAGCCCAACCAACTGCTAAACAACACTGACACTGCGTGCCATGACGTGCAATAGAATTCCTTGATAAGGTCACTGCCAACTGACCGCTAGCCAGTCAGCTGAAACTCTCACCTGGCCATTCTTCTCTGAATACATTCCCGCCGCAGCGCCGCTCAGCTGTACCAGAACCTCAACCGTCCCCTATCAATGCTCACCCGCTCGCGCTTCCGGAGAATCAGCCCATCACCACGCGCCCACTTTTTGGATGGCGAAAAAATCATATACAAAATAGCGCTATCCTCAACAACGTTGATCAAACTGATAACATTCATATCCACTGGATGACATTCACCGCCTCTCTGGCACGGCATTGTCCATCGATCAGTTGGAAGAGGAGTTTCCCTCCCTCCACCCACTCCGACTCAAGGACGACACACGCTCCCATTGCTCCACTCTGTACCTTTGTAACCCAAAACCTTTGATCGAGTCGTGCTTCTGCTGCTGAACACTGTACCTTCGTAACCCATAACCTTTGTTCGCGTCACGGTTCAGCTCTGAAGGCCTTGCACAGGAGCTCCCATATCCCACAGAGCAGAGTCAACGTTCCCTCCGTGCAAGACCATAGAGTCGGTGCTTCCCTCTGTGAGGCAGTAGCAGTAGAGTCGGTCCTCCTTGGATTCCCTCCTCCGTGTTCTGATACAGAGGGAAGACGAACCTAGACAGAAGGCTTGACTAAGTTAGTCACTTGGATTTTGAAACCAAATAGACCACAAGGCCCCGTCTTCAAGTTGGCTGAAGCTACCCTTCACTTTTGCCATGGTGACGTGCGTCTTCCTCCACAACCACCACCTCTATGTTCTTGCTCCTTGGTCCAAAGTCTGCTCCTTCACCCCAGTTACTAGCCGAGTCTTCCTGCACAACCACCGCCTCCATGTACATGCTCAGTTCCACCCAAGATGACCTACCTGCACCACTACCACCTCCGTGCCGTCATTCAGCTCCCACAAGGCCCAGAAGGGCTATCTTGGAGGCAGGGTGCTTGGTCCAAGTCTGGTGCTTTGCCATGGTCAAGTGCGTCTTCCTCGCCCACCACCGCCTCCATGTCCACGGTCGGCTTCAGCTCCAGAAAAGAGGCTATCTAGGAGGCAGGGTGCTTAATCCAAGTCTGGTGCTTTGCCATGGTTAGGTGCGTCTTCCTCGCCAACCACCGCCTCCATGTCCACGGTCGGCTCCAAGAAGACCCATCCAACCAGGTCCGGTGCTCGGTCTAGGTCCGTTGCTAGTCTAGGTCCGTTGCTAGTCTAGGTCGGTTGCTGGACCAAGCCCTGGACCTGGATCACATCAGGCGCATGTCCCTCCATGTCTACGACCACCACCGTGTCATCATTCGCTCCAAGGAAGCACATGATACTAGGTTCAATGCTTGACCCAGGTCTCGTGATTTGGCTCTCGTGGTTGTTCCAGGTGCAGTGCTTGTTCCAGGTCAAGTGCTTGCTCCAGGTGCAGTGCTTGATTTGGGTTTGGGTCCTGTGGTTGTTCCTGGTGCAGTGCTTGTTCCAGGTCCAGTGCTTGCTCCAGGTGCAGTGCTTGTTCCAGGTCCAGTGCTTGTTCCAGGTGCAGTGATTGATCCAGGTCTGGTGCTTGTTCCAGGGCCAGTGCCTGCAATCCTGGAGCCAATCAAAACAGGACCAGGCCCCCACCCTTCCCATCTAAAAATCGATAAAAAGGAACAATGCCTGGCTGCTTGCTGGCTGCACAGTCGCCAATTCTCTGTACCGTACGTGGGGACCACCATCATTACCTTTTGCCAGAACAGGCTGGGGTTTCTTTTGCCAGGGCACAAGCACGGCAGCGTATCTTTTTTTGCCAGAGCAGGACGGCATACGATCCGATTGGTAGGTATCTTCCTCATCTATGAAAGAGGTCGAGAAGGAAGATATAAAACATTTATCCTTCAGTTCGGGGGAAAGGTGGTAATGCAATACGACTCCTCAGAATTTAGGTCCCCAGTGTTTCTCCAACTTTCAGAGACTGAGTGGCGTATAGGCTTTTTACCCACGGTTCGCTCGCTGGTTTTGACGGCTCGTGTTCGATTAAACTGGGCATCTCAGGTAAGTACTCGTACTTTGTAGGACTTTTTCAACCGAACTTTGCTCCATAATTGTGGTCAGATAGATCCCGGAAAAGTCCTATCTGCGTGTACGAACTTAGACGCACACATCCATTCTTCAAGGCCGAAACGCCACTCTCCTTGTACAATCCATCGATCCGTTTCGTCAGCAGCATTAAGCTCAAGGATTGGAAAGAGCTTTTAGTAGCTTCTTTTACGCTTTGCACCCGAAGACGAAAAGTTATACCGACATTTTGCTCTCATTGTCGGTCAACCTCCGTTCGTCATGGAAGCGCACGATAAAAATTAAAAAACCTTGCTCGCAATGTCGGTGTCGGTCAAATTTCGGAAAGTCGTTCCGAAATGTCTGCAACACGGCCTCAAGTATACATCCCTTCTTCACCATCATGATGACGGAGCTCGTCCTGCTCTGCATGGCAGATGCCTGCCTGCAGGCCCTGTACTCGGTCTGAGAGCACCAGCAAATCGTGTGCTACACGGCAGATGCCTGCCTGCCGGCCCTGTACTTAGTCTGAGCGCACCAGCAAATACGAAACCAGAGGGTCACCGAATAAATTTCCGTAAATACAGTCCTCATCTGCCAGATGTTCACTCCATAACTACTTCTCCGAAAAAGGGCAGACACTCCCTAGCTCTCCATTCCCAGCAGATAGACGCCTGGTCTCCATTTCCACCACCCCCGCTCCGGTAGGCATAAGAACACATCAAGGAATGAATGCGCATCGGTGAGAGAAGGGTGGAATCTGTCAGCAAGACAAAAACTTGAAGAAAAAACAGCGTCATCGCCGAGCATCGCTGAGCATCGCCGCCGGCGAAATGAGAAGGGTGCACATGCACGTACGCCACACCACCAGCACACTCTTGGTGGGCAGGGAAGGGGGGGGTGGGGGGGGGCGGCTGGGTTTCGGGGTCGGGTGCTAATCTTCACAGCTCAGGTTGCTTCGGGGGCATTTCAGAAGAAGAAAAAAAAAAGACAACTTTACAATGGTATGCCGACCCCATGTTGAGGCGACGAATGCCGTGGTGTCGTCGGGGTGCCGCCCTCATTATTCAAATTTCTGACCGATCCAGCCGACACTTTAGGAGAGGGAGGAGGTAGGCCCGGCGACCGCAGGGGGGAGCTTGCCCGCTTGCGGTTGCTCTGCCGATCCGAATACACAGCCTTGGTGTAGTCCCAAAGCAGCTGTCCCAGAGCATCCGTTCCCGCACCTACTGCCACCCCTGCCCCGAGCTTCTGCGGGACCCCCAAGCCTGTCAAAAAGCCATCGTAAATAGCGCTTGCTAGGAGCTCTGCATCACACCTGTAGGAACGTTGTTCCTCGGCGTGCGGCGAGCTACACATCCGCATGTCGAAGCTATGCGATATCCATGCTTGGATCTGTTGGATTAGGTCACAAGTCTGCGTATGTGCGACTAATGCTGCCAGCCTTTTGTTCCCTAACGCAAAGTTGCGAGCTTGGTCACGTAGCTTCACCAATCTGTTAAACATGCAGCTCTGCTCCCATGTGCTGTCCTGCAAATTGTTCGCATCTCCTTGAAGCTTGAGGCGCCGCCACAGGGATTTGAAAGTTATTCGTCTTCCGGGCGATCGATAATCAACGCGGAATTTCTCATCCCGGACAGTTTGGCCATCCTCTGTCCGAGTGTCTAGCGTGGAGGGCGGCGATGCGGAACCTTTCAAGGATGGGCGTCGGGTGCATCCCGAACCTCCCTCCAGGAAGCTCTCAATCGGCCGCACCTGCTCCAGTGGCAACAAAAAAGGAAACAAAAAAAGAGAGAGAGAGAAAATAAAAAAAGCAATCAGTGATTTGGCAACAAAAAAGAAACAAAAAAAGAGAAAAAAACTAGGCCGTTTTCCTGGGCGTCCAGGCACCCAACTTGTGACCGGAAACACGCCCGGGTGACCGGCCAGGCATGACCCCTGGGCAGCCCCAGCGTCAAAAAAAAAAAAAAAAAAAAAAAAAAACCCTGAA